CATCTCACAGCAACCTCCAACTCCTGGGCTCAAGCCATTCTCCTGCCTTCACCTCCCAAGTAGCCGGAATTACAGGCACCTGCCACAACGCCTGGCTATTTTTTGGTTGCAGCTGTCATTGTTGTTTGGTGGGCCCGGGCTGGATTTGAACCCACCAGCTCAGGTGTATGCGGATGGCGCCTTAGCCACTTGAGCCACAGGCGCCCAGCCAGCTTTAGAGTATTTCTGGGGTCCTCTTGACCAAACATGTGTTCATTCTGTCAGCTGACAGAGTGCTAAGATTTCATTTTTGTTCCCAATTTACAGACTAATGACTGAATTGGCTCCCTAGCAGGGAGGTGGCAGGTGAAAGTGCTGCTGGTCTCAGCAGGAACTCCCATCCAAGTCAGCTCCTGTTTAGGATGGGGCAGAAAAGGCATGTTGTCAGGTCCAGAGTCAGCTCACTCAAGGGTTTTAAGAGATGTAAGCGGTGGTGTCCCAAGATGAGACCAGATTGGAGTTGTTCAGGCTAGCTTTATTGAAAGAGACGGTGACCACCTGAGCAGTGAGAAGACAATGTTTACATCCAGGAGCAGTTAGAGACCTCCTTTATATCAGGCCTAGGGGTGGGCAAATTCCACAGCTCACCCGGAAGGCTTTGGTGAGTTAGAATCCTTGGCACAAACTTCAGAGGTGGGGCTAACTAGGTCCTTTGTCACCTTTGTCTGGGGAGGGGTTCGTGTAGGGCTGTGTTGGGCCCCCCGACACAGGTTTGCCCTTTCGTGGCAGCTCCCTGGGACTGAGAGATCTGGGGTACGTCAGGGATTGATTAGCAGGGTGGGTGGTGACTGCATGGCCAGGTTTTCCTTCCTGACCATGCTTCCAGGCCCTGGGATCAGGTCTCAGCCCTGGGGACCTCCGTCCCTCCTAGCCTCACCTCTGCCTGCACTGCTATGTGTTCCCTGCTTGGTCAAAGTCTCAGGTGGCTCCGGCATAGCTTGGCAGGCTCTATTCCCCATCCCCTTTCCTCTTTGAGTGGCCTGAGGACTCCTCCCTGCTCTGGATGGAGACCCTGCAACCAGAAGTTGAAGCTCATGACTGTCCTTGCCCAAATATGTGACCTTGGACAAGTTGTCCACCCTCCACTGGGCCCATTTCTTCTTCCAGCAGCTGGGACTATCACAAAGTGTCATGCTGTTGACCAAACTTCTCCTATAGGTCAGACACTTGGCAGGTCTTAAGATCCCCATTTTAGGCTCGGCGCCTGTGGCTCAAGCAGCTAAGGTGCCAGCCACATACACCTAAGGTGGCGGGTTTGAATCCAGCCCGAGCCCACCAAACAACAATGATGGCTGCAAC